ACATTTACATTTTCCACAATACATTTATTTAAAAAACACAAGGTCTTGCTGTGTCCCCCAGGACGGCATGCAATGGTGCAATCACAGCTCACTATAACCTTGAACTCCTGGGCTCAAGCAGTCGTCCCATCTCAGCCTCCTGAGTAGCTGGGACTATAGGTACACACCACCATGCCTGATTAATTTTTTTTCTTTTTTATGTAGAGATAGGGTCTCCCTACATCACCCAGGGTGGTCTCCAACTCCTGGCCTCAAGTGATCCTCTTGCCTTGGCCTCCCAAAATGCTGGGATTACAGGCATGAGCCACAGCATCTAGCCCTGTTTGTCTTCATAAACAAAGCTTTCTTGCTAGGTGGATTTTTTGTTACGATTGGCAGAAAATCCTTTTGCCATCAGAATAGTCCTACAGCAGAAAACCCCTGTACAATAAGTAACTATTGAGATGAAACACAAATTATTCATCCACTTTCCTTTGCACTTGTCCCAAAAGCCACAATAATAACAATTTGTGCGGTCTTTTATCACATGTAAAGCTATTTCATCCTATTGTCTCAATCTAATGTACCTATCAAATATTTACTATTTGTCAGAACTTCACAAAAATTTATCCATTTATAGGCCAGACATGGTGGCTCACGCCTGTAATCCTAGCACTTTGGGAGGTCGAGGCTGTGGGTCACTTGAGGTCAGGAGTTCGAGACCAGCCTGGCCAACATGGTGAAACCCTGTCTCTACTAAAATACAAAAATTATCCTGGCATGGTGGCACATGCCCATAATCTCAGTTACTTGGGAGGCTGCGGCAGGAGAATCACTTGAACCTGGGAGGCGGAGGTTGCAGTGAGCTGAGATCATACCACTGCACTCTAGCTTGGGTGACAGAGGGAGACTCTGTCTCAAAAAAAAAAAAATTCATTCATTTATAATTCAAATGACTTGTCTTATAAGTGTTTTTATTCCCATTTTACCAACTGGTAAGCACAGAAGTAAAGTGACTTTCCTAGGGTTCCGCTGTTGGTAATGGCACTGCAGGACTATAATGCACTTTCTCTCAGTTCAAGCCTTCCCTGAAGACAACCCAGGAGCACCACCTTGGTGCAATGCATGTGACAATTCAGGTGACAACCGCACCCCAGAGGGAGACCCAGGATTCACCTCTGGACCAACTGCACGATGCTCTGGGTGTTGATGAAGAAGACCTCCCGGTCAGCCTTCCGCTGCAGGGTGGCCGCATGGCAGTCCAGGATGGTGGCGATCTGCATGAGAAAACAAGACAGGTCTGACTGCCAATCATTCAGGTGCCATACAGCAGTCCCCTAAAGCAGAGGTCCTCAAACCAGTACCCAATCCAGGACTGGTCTGTGGCCTGTTAGGACCCGGCTGCACAGCAGGAGGTAAGCAGTGGGCAAGCAAGCCAGCTTCACCTGTATTTACAGCCCCCCCCAACGCTCACATCACCACCTGAGCTCTGCCTCCTGTCAGATCAGTGGCAACATTAGATTCTCAAAGCTGCACAAACCCTACTGTGAATTGCGCATGCGAGGGATACAGGTTGTGAGCTCCTTATGAAAATCTAATGCCTGATGATCTGTCACTGTCTCCCACACCCCCAGATGGGACCATATGGTGCAGGAAAACAAGCTTGGGGCTCCCACAGATTCTACATTATGGTGAGTTGTATAATTATTTCATTGTATATTACAATGTAATAATAATAGAAATAAAGTGCACCATAAATGTAATGTGCTTGAATCATCCTGAAACCATGCCCCCTCCGTTGTCCATGGAAAAACTGTCTTCCAAGGAACTGGTCCCTGGTGCTAAACAGGTTGGGGACCACTGACCTAAAGGACCCACCACAGCCTCCCAGGGAGGTCCCATCCAAGGCTCATTTAACGACTGAAAATTCCAGGCCCAAAGCCTTCCAGTCACCCTGAAACAGCCCTGTTTATCCCCTCAACGGTGAGGAATTCAAGCACTCAAAATGACAGCAATCACATGGAGGAGTGCACCTTATACGTCTCCGCACATATGAATGGGATGGGGAAAGAGGAGATGAGAACGTCCCATTCTAGCAAAAACCACGGCGCTGGTGGGGAAGGGTCCTGTCTTTATCATTAGACATAATGTTATTGGTATATTGCCTTTGGCATCAGAAATATTTTTAAAGAAAAAAAACCTGGATCAATGACAAATTCCTGAGAGTTCCAAGTATGTACTTTTTCAGTTAGGATCCTCCAGAGTTTGGTTTTTGTTATTCTTTAGTTCAGATAACTTACATACCATAATATTCCACCATCCCCCTTTAAAGTGCGCAGTCGCTTTAAAGTTTGTAGTGTATTCATAAAGTTGAGCAACTATCACCACCTTCTAATTTTAAAGCCTTTTCATCACTTTAAAAAGAAAGCTTGTAGTCATTAGTACTCAGTCTCCATCTTCCCTGTGCTGCAGCCCCTGGCGGCCACTAATCTACTTCCTTCTCCATGAATGTGCCTATTCTGGACATTCCATAAAAATGGAATCACACAGGGCTGGGTAACATGGCTCATGCCTGTAATCCAGCACTTCGGATTGCCGAGGCAGGCAGATCACTTGAGGTCAGGAGTTCAAGACCAGCCTGGCCAACGTGGTGAAACCTCACCCATCTCCACTAAAAATATAAAAAAGTAACCGGGTATGGTGGCATGTGCCTGTAATCCCAACTATTCAGGAGGCTGAGGCAGGAGACTCACTTGAACCCAGGAGGTGGAGGTTGCAGTGAGCTGTGCTCATACCACCACACCCAGCCTGGGCGACAGGGCAAGACTCTGTCTCAAAAAGAAAAAAAAAGGAATCACATGATATGTGGTATTTTGTGCCTAGCTTATTTCCCTTAGCACAACAGGTTCATCCATGTGGGAGCATGAATCAGTATTCTTTCTTTTGCTGAACAATATTCCAGCCCTTAGAACTGCTAACCTCTGAGAATGGCCTGAACTACACTGACCTCTGGTTTCCCAAATGGCTAATTTGCGGTGGATGACGATGGTGGGGAACCCTCCCACCAGAGGACAGCAAGGCCAACAAGCAGAGGGGCTCCTCCTGATGCAAATACCTTTCAAATGCCCCATGAAAGCAACAACCACAACAAAATAAACAACAAGAGACCAATGTGGAAGTAACAGAGATATTTTATACTAGCCTGGAATGGTGGAATGTCTTCCATTCCTTTTTTTTTTAGACAGTCTTGCTCTGTCACCAGGCTAGAGTGCAGTGGCACGATCTCGGCTCACTGCAACCTCTGCCTCCCAGGTTCAAGCAATTCCCCTGCCTCAGCCTCTTGGCTAGCTGAGATTACAGGCGCCTGCCACCACACCCAGCTTTTTGTATTTTTAGTAGACACAGGATTTCACCATGTTGGCCAGGCTGGTCTCGAACTCCAGACCTCAAGTGATCCACCCACTTTAGCCTCCCAAAGTTCTGGGATTACAGGCATGAGCCAACGTGCCCAGGCTCAGTAAATTCTTTAAAAATATTATATATATATATGTATATTTACATGCAGCTCCAAGACTATCACCTACAAAATCCAGAGGCAGAAAATCAAAGCTGCAAACCAGTGAAAAAACAAAAATAAAACTTGCAATTTCCTCTAATGATGTCAGCCAGTTTACCTTTTGGATAATACTCACTCCATTTGCATCAGCTGCTCACTCCTACTCGGAATCTTGAGATTTAGACAATGAGGCCTAAGGAATGTTGGTGTTCATTCAAACAATTGTTGCTTCGAGTAACAATTGTTACTCGAAATGATGGGATTCTGCAGATGAGGCTCGAAAGGAAGCCCTCGGCCCCTGATATCTTGGGCTATAAATGGGTCTCAGGGAGTTCAACTTGATCAGAGGCCAGGTATGGAGCCAGCCTGGAGCCGGCCCAGCATGCCCGTCCTGGTAGGGCGGGGCTGCATGGGGGTGCACATACCTGCTGGCTGGGGAACTGGCACAGCACCGAGGTGATGTTGCTGGCGTACTGGGCCATCACCCTGCGGACCGACTTCTCCACGGGGACGGGGATGCGGCCAGCCACGCTGGTCATGATCTCCTGCAGCTCCAGCAGCGGCAGTGATGGGTGCCGGAGGGTCACCATGAGCTTCTGCACCCACTCCTTCAGCTGCAGCGGGGACCACAGTGTCAGCCTCCAGCCCTACTTGGGCATGGGCACCACCACCCCCAACAGGGCGCCCAACACAGCTCAACCCATCCTGGCCCCATGCACTCAACTGGCTGAAGATCTAGTCCCAGCTGCCTCTGGGACAGGCCAGAGTGGAATGGCCCCCTGACCACAGGGGATACCCAGTTTTCCCACATAGGAAGACCTTGTCTCCCCTCTCTGTGCATTAGAAAGCCAGCATGGTGGAGGGATCGAACATAAGGTCACGTGATGAGGTGACGTTTATAGGACACTTGCTAAGTGCCAGATGGTGTTTTATGACCTTTCTTTACATGTTCTCATTTGATCCCTAAAAACAACCCTACAAAGGAGGTATAAAGATTTTGCCTGTTTTGCAGTTGAGGCAACTGAGGGGTTAGTTAAGTTACCCAAAGTCACTCAGCTAGTAAGAAGCAAAGCCAGGAGGCAAACCTAGGCTATTCAGCTCCCGAAACTCTGAACTCAGCTCCCGGGAGGCAGAGGTTGCAGTGCGCCAAGATTGCAGCACTGCACTCCAGCCTGGGTGACAGAGTAAAACTCTGTCTCAAAAAAAAAAAAAGAACTGACTTGAGGGTTTTCTCCTCCACAATCTGATCAGAGCTTCTCCATCCAGGCCTCCACAGCCCAGGACCAAGGGCAGCGTTCTGATTGCACTCCCCAAGTTAAATTACTTGATCTCTCGTCTGTCTCACAAGCAAGTGTGTGAGCCTGCAGGGAATGGGTGGCCAGGCCCTGCCGCATTCACCCAGCACAGGAAATGTGTTCTGAAGGGAATCACAGCTGCCCTGTGCTGTTTCTGGGGTATCTCAGTAGCCAAAGCTGATGGTCTCTGGATGACAATGACAATGGGGCTTACCCTAGGGAGGTTTCAAAGTGAACTGATGCATAAACTTTGAAGCACCCCAACTAAGAAAAGTTGCAATTATTGTGGGGCATGATGGCTCATGCCTGTAATCCCAACACTTTGGGAGGCCAAGAGGTGGGAGGATCACTTGAGCCCAGGAGTTCGAGACCAGCCTGGACAACATGGCGAGACCACATCTCTACAAAAAATTAGCTGGGTTGGTGGCAGGTGCCTGTAACCCCAGCTCCTTGGGAGGCTGAAGTGGAACAAGGCTTGAGCCCAGGAGGTGGAGGCTGCAGTGAGCAGTGTTTCCACCACTGAACTCCAGCCTGGGAGACAGAGCAAGACCCTGTTTCAAAAAAAAAAAAAAAGTTGCAATGATGGCAATAATCATCAGGCAGCAAGGCATGGGGGTTAAGAGCACAGAGTCAGAGTCCTGATTGCCACAGTTCAGATCTCATCTTTGCCTCTTCAAGTATGAAGCAATCTCTTAGTCTCTGTGTGCCTCAGTTGCCTCAATTGTAAATGGGAATAAGAGTTCCTACCTTATCAGTTGCTGGGAGGATGAAATGATTGAGCTTTTTTGTAGATAGAAGGTGACTCACGGTACCTACTTGCTAAGGGTTGGCAGTTACTACCATCACCACCATCGTGATGATTGGCTCTCCTGAGATGGACCCTGATGTAGCACACAATGTGATGGCTAGCCACTGTTACGAGCATCATGGGTCTTTCAAGGAGGTCTGCAAATCAGAGGACTTCTTGTTTCTCTACTGAGTGAGCAGATGAGACCCAGCAAGGGTGAATGACGAACAGAGGTGTGTTTCAAACAAAGCGCCTTCTCTGTCATCTCCTTAAGGGGGATGACCCCCACGGACTCCTCCCTTAACATCCTCCTGGAGTATTCTCTGTCTTGAGCTAAACCACCACAAGCCTAGTCTACCATCAAGAAGAAAACGTCAGGCCAATGTTTATAATCCAATTGAAGAAATCCCTGAGAATAGGTCCTTTATAAAAATAACAGAGAGGCTGAGCATGGTGGCTCACACCTGTAATCCCAGCACTTTGGGAGGCCCAGGTGGGTGGATCACTTGAGCCCAGGAGTTTGAGACCAGCCTGGGGAACACAGCGAAACCCCATCTCTACAAAAATACAAAAAATTAGACAGGTATGGTGGTGCGCACCTGTAGTCCCAGCTACTCGTGAGGCTAAGGTGGGAGGATCGCTTGAGCCCAGGAGGTCGAGGCTATAGTGAGCCATGATCACTTCAGCCTGGGCAACAGAGTGAGACCTTGTCTCTAAAAATAAAAAAAATAAAAATAAAAACAACAGAAGACCAACCATTTTTTCATTTCTTACTCAATAACAACCCCTGCTGTCATGGGGTAGACCTTTGACTCTGCGCTGATCTACACGCTTGCGCTCAGAGGTGACTTTACCTTTATGCTAAAAATGGGCTCTGGCAGACAGAAGCCACTCATGATGTTGGTGAGGTTTTCCAGGACGTTGTGGAAGACCTGGTGCAGTTTCTCTCCGAGAATGGGCAACGTCTGCTGGGCGGGGAGTTCTCCTGTGAACGGTTCAGCCTGATGAGACACAAGAGTGACAGGTCAGGAAAACTCTAGGAATCCCAAATGGGATCGGGCAGAATGTGAGGCGAGGCAGACCTGCTGGCTTCCACAAGCGAGTGAGGATGAGGCCTGAGCAGAAGATAATGTACTGGAAAGTTAAAATGGCCAAACTCACACCCTAGTGTGGGTTTTCCAAACCATTTCTTTTGCATATGGCCCAGTACACAGTTTTGGATTACCCTAAACAGTTTTGGAGGGGGGATGAGATCTGTTTTTCTGTGTGTGTTTTGCTTTATAATCAACACATCTCTCTATGTTCTCTATTTATTTTCATTCTCTATTGAATCCCAAGGTTAAACACCTTACAGTAGGATGAAAATTGATGAACATCTCACATTAATGCACCTGGTTTTTGTAAATCACAAAAATTCTGTCTTAGGTAAACATATGGGAAAATAAGAAGCTCCTTAGCGGGCAACACAGACTTAATGTGCTCATCTGTCTACTCATTCATCCTACAAATATCTACAGTGCATGGGGCATGGTGCTGGGATGTGCTGTTCTCCCGGCAGACAACACTCCGCTTCCTGCCCACCCCCACCCCTCCACCCACACCCATCCCCACCCCTAGCCTGGCAGGCTCTTCTCCTCTTTAAGAGCTGACCTGGCTGGGCGTGGTGGCTCAATGACTATAATCCCAGCACTTTGGGAGTCCGAGGCAGGAGGATCAGCTGAGGTCAAGAGTTCAAGACCAGCCTGGCCAACATGGTGAAACCCCATCTCTGCTAAAAATATGCCAAAAAAATTAGACAGTCATGGTGGCACATGCCTGTAATCCAAGCTACTCTGGAGGCTGAGGCAGGAGAATCACTTGAATCTGGGAGGTGGAGGTTGCAGTGAGATGAGATTGCACCATTGCACGCCAGCCTGGGCGACAGAGTGAAACTCTGTCTCAGAAAAACACAGCCAACTTGAAGGTTTTCCCCTGAACGATCTGATCATGGCTTCTCCATCCAGGCCCCCACAGCCCAGGGCCAAGGGCAGCGTTCTGACTGCACTCCCCAAGTTAAATTACTTGTTCACCCAGTCTGTCTCACAAGCACGTGTGTGAGCCTGCAGGGAACGGGTGGCCAGGCCGTGCCGCTTTCACCCAGCACAGTAAATGTGTGCTGAAAGGAATCACGCTGCAGGTACCCAGACCTGCCCACTGATCCAAAAACGCCCAGTCTATTCCTAGCTTTGGGAACTCCCTAAAGAGACTAATGATGCCAGGCAGGGTGGCTCACTCCTGTAATCCCAGCACTTTGGGAGGCTGAGGTGGGCGGGTCACTTGAGGCCAGACCAGCCTGGCCAACAAGGTGAACCCCATCTCTACTAAAAATACAAAAATTTGCCAGGCATGGTGGCATGAACCTGTAGTCCCAGCTACCAGGGAGTCTGAGGCAGGAGAATTGCTTGAGCCAGGAAGTGGAGGTTGCAGTGAGCCAAGGTTGTGCCACTGCATCCAGCCTGGGTGACAGAGTGAGACTCTGTCTCAAAAAAAAAAAAAAAAAAAAAAAAAAAAAAGAGAGAGACTAATGAAAAGAATGTGAACAACAGGCATTTGCAGCAACATGAATGGAACTGGAGGATATTACGTTAAGTGAAATAAGCTGTCCACAGAAAGACAAATTTGGCATGTTCTCACTCATATGTGGGAGCTGAAAATTAAAATGAACTCACGGAGACAGAATGTAGAATGGTAGTTGCTAAGGGTTGGGAAGGGTAGTGGGGAGGGTGGCAGTGGGGAAGGTTAATGGGTACAAAAGTACAGTTAGATAGAATGAGTAAGATCTAGTATTGAGGCTGGCCACGGTGGCTCACGCCTGCGATCCCAGCACCTTCAGAGGCTGAGGTGGGTGGTTCACCTGAGGTCAGGAGTTTGAGATAAGCCTGGCCAACATAGTGAAACCCGTCTCTACTAAAAATATAAAAATTAGCCAGGCATTGCGGCGGGCGCCTGTGATCCCAGCTACTTGGAAGACTGAGACACGAGAATCACTTGAACCCTGGAGGTGGAGGCTGCAGTGAGCCAAGATCGCGCCACTGCATTCCTGCCTGGTTAACAAGAGTGAAATTCCAACTGTAAAAAAGATCTAATACGGACAGCACAACAGGATGACTACAGTCAATTAAAATCTACCGTATATTTTAAAATAACCAAAAGAGTAGAATCGGAATGTTCCTAGTGCAAAGAAACTTTAAATAAACACTTGAGGTGACAGATACCCCAATCACCCTGATTTGATTATTAGACTGCATGCGTAGATCAAAAGATTACATGTACCCATAAATATATACACCTATTATGTACCCAAAATTACACATTTTTAAAAAAAGAAAACAAACACAACTAATAGAATACTCTGGAGAAAAGACACAACGTGATATTTTTAAATGCTTTTTTTACAGGACAGATGCACTAATTATTTTAGAGTTTTGCTTAGGAGGGTGTAAACATCCATTCATTCATTTATCAAGACTTGTTATTACTGAGCAACCACTATGCTCCAAACACTTTGCTAAGCCCCAAGATCACAAGAGTGAACATCCAAAGTAGTTCCTGACCTCAGAGACTCATCGTGTAATGACAGAGCTCAGCCAACACTGAAAACTTAACAGCAATCTAAACTGGAGGTCCCCCCAAGAGCCTGAGCTCAGGGTCACATGACAGACTCTGGTGCACCCTCTAGTGGTCCTGAGGACAGGGTGACGTCCCCGGCACCCACACTGCTGTACGTCCATCCAACAACAAAGATTTACAGAAGACCTCCGACTTACCAGGCCCTGCGTTTGGCACTGGAGACCCAGCAGTGAGCAAGGAAGCCAAAAAGCCCTGTTCTCATGGTGTTTCTAGTCTCCCAGAGGTCAAATAATAAACCAAGAAGACAATCAGTGCAATCATTTCTGTGAGGTGCAGTGTGTGTCAGTGCATGGGTACAAGTGAGCACAATTTTCTAAAGGGCAGTGGAAAGAGACATGACAACTACATGCAATGTGCTAACCTGGATGGGATCCTGGACATCACGTAAAAAGTAAGGAAATCGTACACTCACGTTCATAGCTGCCTAATTCACAGCAGCCAAAAGGTAAAGACAATCCAAGTGTCCATCACTGGATGAGTGGACCAGCAAAATGTGATATACTCATACAAGGGAATATTATGCAGCCTTAAAAAGAAGGGAAATTCTCACACATGCTATAACATGAATGAAACTTGGGGATATTATTCTAAATGAAATGAGCCAGTCATAAAAGGAGAGATACTATATCGATTCCGCTTATATGAGGTACCTAGAGGAGTTGAATTAATAGAGACAGAAGGTAGAATCCTGGTTGGCAGGGGCTGGAGGGAGGAGGGAATCAGGAGTTATTATTTAGTGAGTGTGAAGTTTCAGTCTTGCAAGTGCTGGAGATGGGTGGTGGTAATGGTTGCCCAGCAATGTGAATGTACTTAATACTATGAATAGTACATTGAAAAATGGTTACGATGGTAAATTTTATGTTATATATATTTAACCATAATTTTTTTTTGAGACAGTCTGGCTCTGTAGCCCAGGCTGGAGTGCATTGGCACAATCTCGGCTCACTGCAACCTCTGCCTTCTGAATAGCTGGGATGATAGGCATGCGCCACCATGCCCAGCTAATTTTTGCATTTTTAGTAAAGATGGAGTTTGACCCTGTTGGCCAGGCTGGTCTTGAACACCTGATCTCATGATATGCCCACCTTGGTCTCCCAAAATGCTCGGATTACAGGTGTGAGCTACTGTGCCTGGCCCATATTTTTTTAAAAATAAACTAAGGAAATCTGAGTAAACAATAATGTAACAATACTGGTTCGTAAAATGTGACAACTGGACCATACTATTGCAATAACAGTTCAACTTAAAACAGTTAATTATTATTCTTAAACAATAATACCTAATATATCACTATCAATATCACTATTGCTTCACTAAATGTGACAAATGGACTGTGCTGTTGCAATAATACTTTAATTAATAATAGTAAATTGATAACAACAGTAATTAATTGAGGCCAGGTGCAGTGGCTCGTGCCTGTAATCCCAGCACTTTGGGAGGCTGAGGTGGGTGGATCACCTGAGGTCAGGAGTTTGAGACCAGCCCGGCCAACACGGCGAAACTCCATCTCTACTAAAAATACAAAAATCAGCCTGGTGTGGCACACACCTATAATCCCCAGCTACTAGGGAGGCTGAGGCAGGAGAATCACTTGAACCTGGGAGACAGAGATTGCAGTGAGCTGAGATCACGCCACAGCACTCCAGCCTGGGTGACACATTATATTATACAATATAATATTATATAAATAATATATTATATAAAATTAATATTATAATATTAATAATAATGATTAAATTCATGACAGGGAAACTGGCTACAGGGAATATGGGAACTCTCTGTACTATTTACATAACTGTTCTGTAAATCTAAAACTGTACTAAAAATTTAAGTCTATTAAAAAGAAAAGGTGGTCAGTGGCCAAGAATGCCCTCATTGCGGGGAAGACATTGGAATAAAAGCTCCCAGGAGTTGAGAGAGTGATCTCTGCAAATGTCTGGGGGCAGGTCCTTCACAGCAGAGAGGACAGCCCCCAGGAGGGAGGGGTCCAGTATATTCAATTAAGTGACAGGGAGAGAGACAGAGGAGGAAGGCAGAGAAGAAAGCAGGGAATAGCTCATTTGGGGTCTGGTAGGTCACTGGCAGAACTTGGGTTTTACTCTTAGCAGGATGGAGGGCCGCAGAGAGGGATGTGAGCAAAGCAGGGTGTGGCTTCCTCGTGTTTCTGCACCATCAGGATGGCTGCTTCGAAGAGCTCTGTCTGCAGGTGGAGGCAGGAGGCGAGCTATGAGCCTTGAGTCTACCTGTCCCACTGAACCACCGGGGGCTGCGAGCACACGTGCACCAGCCAGAGCACTTGGGCTGTGGAGCCACGTACCGGGTGAACTTTAGAAGGGTCATCAAGCTCCAGTCTGGCCACCACGCAGCCTGCTTCCAGCATGGCCCCTGGACGCTTGAGGTATTTCACCCGGCCACTTTCCTGCACGTTCAGGGTCATGATCATCTTCATCACCTATTTCGTAAAAAAAAAAGAAATAGCACAGAGCCCATCAGGATTGACACCCAGAGCCACCCAGAACTAGTGATGCCAGAGCAGGGACTGCATGATTTAAACAGAATGACTCCATGGGCAGTGTTCAAGCAGAAGGGACAGGGAGAAGTGGCCTTTACCGGAAGCCTGCTGTGCGCCAGGCAAGTGCTGTTCAATCTGTAAAGCCAGCCAAGGAGGTGTTTATGATGCCCATTTTACAGATATGGAAACTGATGTTTATTTCCAAAGAGAGGTCTTCTCTCTCTTAGAAATACTGTTAAATCATATTACATAGAGTGGTTCATATACACATTCCTAAAATGTACTGTGTAAATCAAACATTTTGTGAATGGTTCCCTTTATTAAAGGCATGCAGAAAATCCTCTGTGAAATGAAGAATCTGCTCACAGTACACTAATCGGCCGTTTTAATTTGTGTCTCTGAGTGTCCGGACACGTGGATGACGTAAGCTTTGTCACCATGGCGTCGGCTGCACAGCCGGGACTGTGCTGTCTCTCTCGCTTGGCAGTTCACAGCTTGGGCGCCCAAGTCAGCCAGGCCTGGGCTGGTATCCCAGGACCTCCACTCAATACCTCTGTGATCTTCAGAAAGTGGCTCCCCTCCTTGAGCCTCAGTTTCCCCAATTATAAAATGAGGCATAATGACAGTTTCACTTCTTAGGGCTCTTAGAAGGATTACATGAGATGCAGACGCTGCCATGCAGCAGGTCAACACGCAGTAGCTACTATTGTTGCTGTATTTTCATTGCTATTATTACTGTTATTCTCTGGCTTTGTGTGACCTCCAGCGAGTTTCTTAGCCTGCCTGGGCCCGGCTTTTTCATAAAATGGGGATCACACTGTGCCCATCTCATACAGTTGCTGGGAAGGTTAAAAAATAAAGATCAGTAAAATACTTGGAACAGCACCTGCCACATGGTTAGGGCTTTGCGAGTTTTGACGTAACACCTTTCAATCATTGCTGTGGTTAATATTTAATATTTAATCATTGATAATAATTGTTATTATGAATCAATTCTTGGCTGGGTGCAGTGGCTCATGCCTGCAATTTCGCATTTTGGGAGGCTGAAGCAGGCTGATCATCTGAGTTCAGGTGTTTGAGACCAGCTTGGGCAACATGATGAAACCCCGTCTCTACCAAAAATACAAAAAATTAGCCAGGCATGGTGGTACACGCCTGTAATCCCAGCTACTTGGGAGGCTAAGGCGGGAGGATCACTTGAGCCTGGGAGTCGGAGTTTGCAGTGAGCTGAGATTGCACCACTGTACTCCAGCCTGGATGACAGACTGAGACTGCCAAAAAAAAATCGGGAAGCTGATTTACAGAACAGTTATGTAAATAGTAGAGAGTTCCCATATTCTCTGTACCCAGCTTCCTTGTTGTTAACCTTCCTACTCATTCCTGGGGAGATGTGCATTTTTCGAAGTATTTTTTAAATACGTCAGAGGATTTGAGCTGAACTCCACAGACTGATTCTCTTAGGAATTTGCAGACCATGGCCAAGCGGAGAGGCAGGCCTGTTTGTTCAGACATGGGACCATTCCAGAGGTGTGGGGTTTGGGGATTCAGGATTCCCCTCGGCCGGCTCTGCAGTCACCTCCATCTCAGCGTAGCTGCTCCCAGCCTCCACGTGGCCCCCGTCCTCCACTGTGTACTGTGTCAGCTTCCCAGCCGAGGGAGATCTCAGGACTGTAGGGTCGTTCTCCTTCTCAAACACACACGTCTTATTGCCAATGGTAATTCGGTAACTGGGAGAGAGGAGTGGAGTAGAGAAACTGATGAGGGCCATCAACCCAGCACGCTCTAGTCCAGCTTTCAATACGATCTCCCCCTTCCTAAAGGCTATCAAGAGTGTCACTCTCTGCATTCCCAAAGGGTGGCATCTGACAGTTATCTCAGAGATGGTGAGAGTGAGGTGGGTGAACAAAAGGCCGTGATGCTTTCTTTGGTAGGCCAAGGTGGAAGCGTCGCTTGAGGCCAGGAGTTCAAGACAAGCCTGGGCAACACAGTGAGACCCCATCTCTACAAAAAAAAAAATTATTTTTTAATTAGCTGGGCGTGGTAGCACATGCCAGTAGTCCCAGCTACTCAGGAGGCTGAGATGGGAGAATCCTTTGAGCCCAGGAGTTCAAGGCTATTGTGAGCTATAATTACTCTGTCACCCAGGCTGGAGTGCAGTGGCACAATCATGGTTCACTGCAGCCTCGACCTCCCTGGGGTCAGGTGATTCTCCCATCACAACCCCGATTTGCTGAGACTACAGGCACGTGCCACCACACTTGGCTAATAATTATATTTTATAGAGATGGGGTTTTACCATGTTGCCCAGGCTAGTCTCAAAGTTTCGGACTCAAGTGATCAGGGGCTCACTCTCGCCCACGCTGGGTGGCAGAGTGAGAATCTGCCTAAAATAAAATAAAATAAAGGATGCAATCTTTTTTTGGCTGAAAGCTAGTTCCTTTTACTGACATACTTCCAACAGTGCCTGACACAGAAGAATCAATCAGTAGATCTGATTCCATAAATATTTACTGACTCAAAATCTTAACCTTTGAACTGGGGAGAGTGGAGCCTATAATAATCTTGAATATTCTTGACAGATAGAACATGGGTTAAAAAAGAGATAACAGGCAGGGTGCGGTGGCTCATGCCTGCAATCCCAGCACTTTGGGAGGCCAAGGCTGGCTGACTGCTTGAGTCCAGAAGGTCTGGTCCAGCCTGGGCAACATGGCAAAATCCCGTCTCTACAAAAAATACAAAAATTAGCCGGGCATGGTGGCACATGCCTGTAGTCCCAGCAACTTGGGGCTGAGGTGGGAGGATCATCTCTGAGCCCAGGGAGGTCGAAGCTGCAGTGAGTCATTGTCCTGCCACTGCACTCCAGCCTGGATGACAGAGCAAGACCCTGTCTCAAAAAAAAAAGGAGATAGCAAAACATTACTCTGGCATAAACCTAGTCTTCCTTCTTCCAAAACACTGAGGATTGAGAAGCAAGTCTCCACTCTCTAACTAGAGCTTTGCAGACACCCCCCCCCTTTCCCCTCCTTGGCCAGGGTATGTTTCATTGTGTGACCTGAGTGTGGTCAGACACATTGGAGGCGGAGCATTTTTGGGGCGTATCTCACTATCTCACAAGCCCCTCTCAAAGAGCTTCCAGGACATTGTGTGTGTCACCCGTCAGGTATATGACAGCCTGTCCTGCCACTGTTTGTTCAATGTGTCATCTTCCCCAACAGGTTGGAAGCTCCATGAATCGCACCCAAAATGCTCTCCCAGCACCAGCACAGTGCCTGGTACGGAGGAGCTCAGTAGGTCACTGCCGCGCTAACTGGGTGGATGCTGCAGCTCAGATGCACAAGCAGCAGGCACCTCGTCACACACCTCGCAGGCCACACGGAGCTGGGAGTCATGTCCCATTCAGCTCTGAATCCCTCCAGATTACTAGAAAACCATCTCCTAGGATCCTCCCCTCAACATCTACCAGTTGCAAAGAATTCCAACCAAGAGATTAGCTTATCTGCACAACCCCAGAATTTACCTGAGAGGCACCTTCTCTAAGACCCTCGGACCTGCACACAGGCCAGCGCTGTGTTTTCCATGCCTAGGATGGAGAGCTGTGCACGCCCAGCCCACGGCAGGACTCGCACCCCCACGCACCTGTCCACCTCTTCCTTCATGTAGGTGGTGTAGCTGTTCCCATTGTAGGACAGCAGCAGCCCCCCATCGTTCAGCCGGTGGGCGTCGATCTCGATGTGGCAGCCATTCATGATGAGAACGAACATGGTCAGAGACTGCCGGGCCACCTGTGGGGACAGGCCCCTTGTCACCATCTGGGTTCAGAATGTGCTCCCAGAGCACCGTTTGGCCCCGCTAACAACAAACAAGAGCTGGTTGTCCACCGCAGAGGGCCAAGATGCACATCCCTACCTCTGGGACCCAGCCCTCACAATCCCTGCTAAGGGAGCAGCTGCTGATGGGCCTGGGGGAGGCCTGGACTCAGCGAGCCACCCGTGGGTAGGCTAATGGCCCCTGATATAGTCCCTGTCAAGCCATTTCGCCAACTGTGTGCCCTCCGGGCCTAGAGTCTCCCTTCTGATTCCTGTCTCCAGCTCTCATTCTGGTGAGGCAGCCCTGAAGACTCCACCAGCAGCCAGGTGCAATGGACTAAATGTTGTGTCCCTGCAAAATTTATAAGTTGAAATCCCAACCCCCAGTGTGATAGCGTTAGGATGTAGAGCCTTTCGGAGGTGATCAGATCATGAGGGTGGGGCCCTCGTAAAAGAGATTAGTGCCCTTATAAAAGATGTCTTGTAGAGCTCCTTGGACCCTTTCTGACATCTAAGGACATAGTGAAAGGACGGCATCTATGAAAGGAAAGGTGGGTCCTCAGTAGACACCAAATCTGTCAGTATATTGATAATGACCTTCCCAGCCCATCGAATTGAGAGAAATACAGTCTGTGGTGTAGAAGCCACCCAGTCTTCGGTATTTTGTGACAGTAGCCCAAATGGACTAAGACACCTGAAGATGGACTAGGGCTCTGCTCCCCAGACCCAGCTGTGCCTAGCAGCACACAAGAGCTTTGGGACACGCAAGAGAGACACACAGACAGGCCCTGGCCCAGCACTACACCTCCCTCCAGGAAGAGCGCCTGCCCCATCCGCTACTTCAGTTCAGTTCTCTCTCAGAACACACACACCCTAAAGGGCCTTCAACCTATAAAATGCACGTGTTATGACACACAGTAGCAAGAAATAGAGGAATGTGTTTTGCAACATCGTTTATGATAGCAATAAAAATTAGAACCAAACTAGCAAGCCATCAACCTTGCAATGGAACACTCTAGATCTGCCCTGCCCAATATGGTGAGCCCAGACACACACAGCTATTTAAATTGACCAAAATTAAATAAAATGTAAAATTCAGTTCCTCAGTCACACTTGCTACTTTCAAGTGTTCAGTTGCCACATGCAGCATATTGGACACAGTACATAGGGAACGTTCCCATCAAACTGCAGGTTCAGGGAGACAGTGCTGCAGACACGTTTCCACTCATGTTAATAACATCGAAAACTTTGTTAATAACATCATCATATCAGAGCTGTAAAACTGTATTTGCACCATGATCTCAACTTTTTTAAATTAATGCAAAAGAAAAAAATATATAACAAAGATTTGCGAAAATGTTCACCAGGGCTGGGCGCGGTGTCTCATGCCTACAATCCTGGCACTTTGGGAGGCCGAGGCGGGTGGGTCACGAGGTCAGGAGCTCGAGGCCAGCCTGACCAACATGGTAAAACCCCATCTCTACTAAAAATAACAAAAATTAGCCAAGCGTGGTGGCGCACGCCTATAATCCCAGCTACTCAGGAGGCTGAGGCAGGAGAACCGCTTGAAACCGGGAGGCAGAGGTTGCAGCAAGCCGAGATTGTGCCACTGCACTCCAGCTTGGGTGACAGAGCAAGACTCTATCTCAAAAAAAAAAAAAAAATGTTCATTATGATTACCTCTAAGCATTAGCATATGGTAGATTTATTTTCCTGATTCTTTATGGTTGCTTGAAATTTTGGAATTTTCTACATTGTGCATGTGTGACGTTTAAAATCAAGTTGGGGGCAGCCAGGTCCCCAAAGGTAGCCAAGAGGCATTAGGGGCAAAGGAGGATGATTTTGAAAGCACACCCTGATTAACGACACACAGGTTTAGTTGAACTAAAGCCCCCACATCTCCCAAGTTGTGAGTTCTGCTCGTGCTCATCACTGTTAAATAGAAAGTATTAATTAAAGAAGACAAAAATTCTGTCTCAGAAGCAGATTCAAACTCTGTCCTCTTCCCCTCCCTACAGTGTGAGGCTGGGGAGTGCTGGGCAGGCCTGGACTTACAGGGGACACAGCCTCCTGCCACTGCACTGGAACCCAGGGCACCGATGCTGCAGCTGGCTCACCCAAGGACCCTGGGTCCAGAGCACCACGCTGGGACACCAGGCCTCAGCCCCTTCCTGTGCATCTCAGAACATTCTCTAAACTCTGTTGAACTGACCTTGGATGGCCCATGAAGGGCTACTAGACACTTCCAACAGAGGAGAGCAACCGGAATAAGCTCCCGGAACTCCAGTAGCAAACCAGAGAAGATGCCAGAAATCCACACGTGGTGCAGAGACACAGAACAAAACCAGCCTCATAGGCCCTGGAAACAGACCCAGGTCCGCTATGCTGTCTTAGCCAAGGCCCTGCTCACATTCTACAGGGGGCTGAATAATACCCTCCAAAATTCATGGCCGTCCTGGAACCTTGGAATGTGACCTTATTTGGAATGGGATCTTTGCAGATGTACTTAAGATGAAATCATATTGAATTAGGGTGAGCACTAAATCCAATGTAACTGGTGTTCTTACAAGAGAGGAGACACAGAGACACAGTCATGGAAGACAACGTAAACACACACCACACACACACACACACACACACACACACACACACACAGAGAGAGAGAGAGAGACGGGGGCACGGGGGCAGAGGCTAGGCAGTGGCTCATGCTTGTAATCCCAGCACTTTGCAAGGCCAAGGTGGGCAGATCACTTGAACTCAGGAGTTCAAGACCAGCCTAGGCAACATGGTGAAATCCCATTTCAACTGAAAATACAAAAATTAGCTGGGCATGATGGCATATGCCTATAATCCCAGATACTCAGGAGGCTGAGGCAGGAGAATCACTTGAACCTGGGAGAGGGAGGTTGCAGTGAGCTGAGATCGTGCCACTGCACTCCAGTCTGGGCGACAGAGTGAGACTCCATTTGAAAAAAAAAAAAAAAGGCCAGGCGTGGTGGCTCAAGCCTGTAATCCCAGCACTTTGGGAGGCCGAGGCGGGTGGATCACGAGGTCAAGAGATCGAGACCATCCTGGCCAACATGGTGAAACCCCGTCTCTACTAAAAATACAAAAATTAGCTGGGCGTGGTGGTGTGTGCCTGTAATCCCAGCTACTCAGGAGGCTGAGGCAGGAGAATTGCCTGAACCCAGGAGGCGGAGGTTGCGGTGAGCCGAGATCGCGCCATTGCACTCCAGCCTGGGTAACATGAGTGAAACTCCGTCTCAAAAAAAAAAAAAAAAAAAAAAAAAAAAAAAAAAAAAAAAAAAAAAAAAAAAAAAAGAAGACAGAGACAGAGACTGGGGCAAGGCATCCACAAGCCAAAAAACACCAGGGACTGCCAACAACTCCAAAAGCTGGGGGGGCTCAGAGCAGATCCTGTCCTAGCGCCTTCAGAGAGACTATGGCCTGTCAATATCTTGATTTTAGACTTGGCCTCCAGAACTGAGACAGAATAAATTTCTGTTGGTTTAAACCAGTTCGTGGCACCTTGTCACTGCAACTACAGGAAACTTACCCATGCTCCATCGTGCCCTCTGTGGACTGCATAGCCCTACATGTTCTAAAAGTCAAAGTGTTTAGGTGTCAAGGTCACGGACTACATGGGGATTCCCAGGGAACACAAGTGCTGAAACCCAAGCATGAGCAAATCCACTCCAGGGATGGTTCATGGAAGAAAGAAACCCCCTGAAGCTTGCAGATTGCTGGAGACATCAGAGAGGCACGGGGGCATTTACCTTGAGAATGTACTTAACACCTCCATAAATTAATTCCACGTCTACAATGTTCAGTAGTGAATCTGCTGGGAGGACCTGGCCCCTGAAAGAAAAGACAGGGCTGTGGTCAGCCTTGGGAGGAACTGAGAACTCCACAGCCATCCCGTGTGTTTAAAAAAATTACACAGCTCTCTGCATCAGCAAACCCGACTGCACTAAAAATGCCAAGCCTGGGCTGGGTGCAGTGGCTCACGCCCATAATCCCTGCACCTTGGAAGGCCTAGGTGGTCACATCACTTGAGGCCAAGGGTTCGAGCCCAGCCTGGCCAACACGACAAAACCTCATCTCTACTAAAAATATAAAAATTAGCCAGGTGTGTGGCATGTGCCTGTCACCCTAGCTACTTGAGAGGCTGAGGCACAAGAAGCACTTGAACCTGGGAGGCAGAGGTTGCAGTGAGCCGAGATCACACCATTGCACTCCAGCCTGGGCAACAGAGTGAGACTGTGTCTCAAAAAAAAAAAAAAAAAAAGCTACGTTCGATTAAAAGATAACGCACAGAACCTGAATCATCCCAAGGAGGCTGACATTCCTCAGAACTTAAGGAATCGGTGCTTGCTGAAGGATTTGAAATCTTAAGAAGGCTTTTCAGGAGCAAAATCCATAACGGTCTCTCAGAAAAATTTCACATTTAAGATCCTGCCTCCTGCTTATATAAGAAACCAGAGGACCGTGATTCTACTACCGTTCAAAAGCATAACCAAGCACTAAAGAGATTTCTCGCCAGGCGCAGTGGCTCATGCCTATAATCCCAGCACTTTGGGAGTTGGGTCAGGAGGATCACTTGAGGCCATGAGTTTAAGACCAGGCTGGGGGGGCAACACAGTGAGATCCCATCTATACAAAAAATTTTTAAAAACTGGCCAGGCATGATGGCATGCACCAGTGGTCCCAATGACTTGGGAGGCTGAGGTGGGCAGATCACTGGAGCCCAGGAAGTCGAGGCTGCAGTGAGCTGTAATCATGCCACTAGACTCTGACAGCCTGGGTGACAGGGCAAGACTCTGTCTCAAAAAAAAAAGTTTCTCCTTTTATTTTCTTTTTGATAGTTTCATTTGCCTTTCACAGCAGTTCTCAACTGGGGGTGATTCTGTTCCTAACCCTGGGACATTGGACAGTGTCTGGAGATATATCTGATTGTCATTACTCAGAGGGAAAGGCTGCTCCTGGCATTTAGTGGGCAGAGCCAAGAATGCTGTAACATCCTACAATGCGCAGGACAGGCTCCCACAACAAAAAACGATCCAGCCCAAAATGTTAATGGTGTTGAGGCTGAGAAACTCTGGCCAATCCTAACAGAGATCACCTGCTGCTTTCCATCCTGGTCCATTTCATGATAACCCTCTGATTCAGGTGATGGTCTGGGAATGAACCCATCTGCAGAGATAACCTTTCAGCCACTTTGCTTCCCGAATCCACCTCCTTGAACGCAGAACTCCTCACTATTATGATGTACCTTACACAAGTCAGCATGGATCCATACACAGCAGTCTATACGCTGACTGCTCCCCTGGCCTTCAGAATCCCATCCCTGACCCACGGCCTCCTTGAGGGTGGCCTCGGTTTATCCACAGAGGAATTTCCCAGATGCAAGACCGGAGGAGAGACTCACTAATTGCCTGGTGACTAACTGGCCACACAAATAAAGGAGACATGTTCTGCTTCCTAAGCCACTAACAAGTACCACAAAAGGGGAAGGGAACTGCCTCGGGCCCTACCTTTCCAGGGAGTGTAAGAAATCTGTCATGCACGTCCTGAACATCGCATCAGCCACATTCAAGGCCCCGCATACCACCCCGAGCATGATATCCGGCTTCTCGGCCTAGGAGAGAATGCACTTCAGTATCTTCAGGAAGCTGAGGTCTTGGCCCTCCACAGGGGAAACACAGGCAGCTCGCTCCCCACCTGCACTTTCTCGGCGATGAGGCAGTCCAGCCACCCGGTGTCAATGTCGTTGTTCTGGAAGCTCTCGGTCTCCAGAAGGTTAATGAGGTATTCCACGGTGGTCCTAAAGTCACCCCGGATGGACAGTTCCTTCAAAGCCACCACCATGTTCCTTGAAGGAAAAGGCACATGGGTTATTTTCCAATTTCATGCATATATCAACAGTTCCTGCAATTGTCTGGTTCAAAGAACTAGAAAAGCACAGGAGTGGCCAGGCGCGGTGTCTCACACCTGTAATCCCAGCACTTTGGGAGGCTGAGGTAGGCGGATCACCTGAGGTCAGGAGTTTAAGACCAGCCTGAGCAACATGGCAAAACCCCAGCTCTACCAAAAATATAAAAATTAGCTGGGCATGGTGGCGCATGCCTATAATCCCAGCTACTCAGGAGGCTGAGGCAGGAGAATTGCTTGAACCCGGAAGGCAGAAGGTGCAGTGAGCTGAGATCAAGCCACTGCACTCCAGCCTGGATGACAGAGTGAGACTCTGTCTCCAAAATAAAAATAAAAAAAGAAAAGCACAGGAGCTAAGAGAGGGCTCTGACTGACACAGCCAGTATATTGATTCAGAGCCACGGTTTACCGGCTGGGTAATCTTGGCCAAGTGACTTGAGTGCTCTGTGCCTCAGTTTCCTCAAGTGGAAAATTTAGCCCTGACTTCATGAGGGTGTTTGAGGATTGAAATGATCAATCCAAGTAATGCACATGGTCATTGATCAAAAATGTTAAAACTATGAGCGTGATTAGTTATCACTGCTGTAATTATTGACTATAATAGTTAATGATTAGTAGAGAGAGCTGGCCGAGCATGGTGGTCCACACCTGTAATCCCAGTTACAGGGAGGAAGAGAGGGAGGGAGGAAGGGAGGGAGGGAAGAAAGGAGATACTGACGAAATGGCCTCTTCCCGGTTCTCTCCCCAGGAGAAGCAGTGCCCAAACTGGGAATCCGCAAACTCGTGCAGGCCTCCGGCAGCGGCCACGCTGAAGTAACCCCACACGTTCTTGCTGCTGCGGAAATTCAGTTCCTGGACGGTCCCAGAGCTCGGCTTAAACCCCTGGAGTCCAGACAGAAAACGCAAAATGGAAGAAGTCATTACTCCAGATATATTTTCATCAGAATTCAGTCCTGGGAAAACCCAAGATCCCCTACACTAACCAAAGCTTAGAGTAGTCAAGAAAATACTGATATCTCTTGTTACAGGTATGGATGGATCTATTCATGGGTGTACCCATGTGAGCACCTCAATGCCTACAATTCTTATTTTTTTAATTGTAAAAAAATAACCAATTTGGGCCAGTCACGGTGGCTCACGTCTATGATCCCAGCACTTTGGGAGGCAGAGACAGGAGGATCACTTGAGCCCAGGAGTTCAAAACCAGCCAGAGTAACATCAGGAGACCCCATCTCTACAAAATTTTTTTTAAAAAATAGCCAGGCGTGGTGGCGCATGCCTATAGTCCCAGTTACTTGTGGGGCTGAAGCAGGAGGATTGCTTGAGCCCAGGAGATTAGGCTGCAGTGAGGCATGACTGCACCACTGTACTCCAGCCTGGGTGACAGACAAGACCCTGTCTCCAATCCATAAATAAATAAAATATGCAAGTTGGGATGGAGATGGCCGTGCAGGTGTTAAATTAAATGGGTGAATGTTGATGATTGTTGGAGCTGGGTGAAGGGACATTCTGACTATATATGCTCGACATTTTAAAAATAAAAAGTTTAAATAAAAGTGAAGACAGGTTAGATTTCCCATTCTGGATAATGAAAACCTCTGCAGGTGAAGAAATCCAGGGCATCCCAGGCAGGCCTCTTGCTGCTGGGAAGAGGCCATTTCATTGAAATTTCCTTCCTTTCTTCTCTCCTTCCTTCTTCCTTCCCTCGTTCCCTTCCTCCCTCCCTCTCTCCCTTCTTCCTTCCTCACTTCCCTCCTTCCTTTGCTACCCCTCCCTCCCTCCCTTGCTCCATTCCCCTCTTCCTCACCCCATCAGCCAGGCCGCTGTCAACACACCTTATCCCCACTGGGGGGACAGCTCGTCTCCCTCTGAGTACAGTTTTGGTAAGAGTGGGTGGACATAGCACCTGTCACTGGGCTTGGGGCTCCTGAACTAAGGGATGAGTTTTTGGGGAGAAGTATGTAGAGGTGGGAGATGGAGCGGCCCAAGTGCCTGGGCTGTGGCCATACCTGGTCCTCCATCCTCCCAGCAACCTGGGAACAAGCCATTATCCCTCCAAAAAATTCCCCTTTTGCTTGTCCACCAGAGTTGGTGTTTGGTTCGCAGCCAAGAACCCCAAACAAATACAGGTACCGGAGCTTAAATTATTTAATTAAAAGGGGTGGAGGTGTACCCTCTCTTACCCCCAGATTCCTGAATGTAATAATTAAGCAATTATGTTGTAGTAGATTGATGAGTTCTGTGACCATCAACAGTCAATATGCATGTAAACTGTAAGGGATGCCAGTTGGTTTGTTTTTTAAGACCCAAGTAAAGCCAAGTCACAAAGGGACTCTCTACAATGAGCCAGACTTTATACTGCGGGAAAAAGCACACGGGGCCGGAAATCCAAGGACTTGGGCTCTAAACCTGGCTGCTTGTCCCAAAGATGGGCATGGCTTTTGGCATCCACTGACAGGCCTCGGCAGGTCCCAGGTGGGAGACAGGGAGCAAGTTAGCCCAGGCTTCTTGCCTGTAACTTGGGGTGACAATGTCCAGCAGCAGTAGTATCCTGTAAGTGAGTACTGAGACACGGGAAGGCTCGGCCCGGAGACTGGCAATAATCCAAAAATCCAATAAATCTGGGGGCAGTGGCTCAAGCCCATAATCCCAGCACTTTGGGAGGCTGCAGTGGGCAGATCACTCGAGTCAGGAGTTCAAGACCACCCTGGCCAACATGGTGAAACCCCATCTCTACTAACAATACAAAAATTAGGCCGGGCATGGTGGCTCACGCCTGTAATCCAAGCACTTTGGAGGCCAAGGCCAGTGGATCACCTGAGGTCAGGAGTTCAAGACCAGCCTGACCAACATGGTGAAACCCCGTCTTAAAAAAAAAAATTAGCCGGGCGTGGTGGTGGGTGCCTATAATCCCAGCTACTTGAGAGGCTGAGGCAGGAGAATAGCTTAAACCCGGGAGGTGGAGGTTATAGTGAGCCAAGATTACAACACTGCACTCTAGGCTGGGTGACAGAGTAAGACTCCATCTCAAAAATAAAAATAAAAATAAATAAAAATCTAGTAAATCCAATGATCCAATAAAACACAGCATGTCCCTTCCTGTGCCTCAGTTTCCCCATTTGTAAACTGAGATGCCTGGATAGCATGTGGGTGTCTCTTCCCAGCCTAACATACAGGGTCCCCCACAGGCTGGGAGATCTGAGATGGCAGAAACACAGGGGCCCCCATGACTTGCCTCATCTGGGTTTTCGCTGGTGATTCTGGCAGCAATGACGTGGCCTCGGGCGAGGGGAGGGTTTGAGGGGGTTTCAAAAGAAATGGGAGTCACTCCCCATGGCGACTCTCCGTATAGAAGCCGGATGTCCTTCAGCCGGTGCAGAGGTACGCCCATGGCGATCTAAAATCAAGAGATCCAACCCACAGACTGTCAGTCCTACCAGAACATGGCCCCAAACACCAGACACAGTGGTAGATGCAACAGAGGAAGGGGTTCAGTCAATGATTTAGGATATATGGGCACTACTCTATAGACAACATGGTACTCTACTGTGGCCAGAGAGGCAAAGAAAGAAAAGAAAAAAGCCATAGGCATGAACTTTTCATAGTGGAGCAAATAGCACAGTTGGGAAAAGAAAAAATATTTATGAAACAACATCACACAAGAAAATACACTCATCACGTAAAAGCGCTAGACTTTTAGAGCTAGGGAAGGTGAGAAGTAACCAGTGTTGGCTGCAGACTTAAAAGAGGTTTTTGCAAAGGGCATCCGAGGGAGAAACTGGACATGAAGAATGGGTAAAAGGTAGACAATTATGGAACCAGGTTAACCAAATGATCAAATTTAATATCTGGTGCCTCATGATGGGATGTATTAAGGACACACACCTGTGTCATATTCTGCCAAAATGTGTAGCAGGAATCGAACCAGGAAGAAACAACCAGAGAAATCCAGAGTGAGGGACCTTCTGCCTGAACTCAAGAAGGCCAGTGTCCACGCCTGTAATCCCAGCACTTTGGAAGGCCGAGGCAGGCAGATCACTTGAGCCTAGGAGTTGGAGACCAGCCTGGGCAACATAATGAGACTCCATCTCTACAGAAAAAAATTTTTAAAAATTAGCTGGGCATGGTGACTTGCACCTATGGTCCCAGCTACCCAGGAGGCTGAGGTGGGAGGATCACTTGAGCCTGGGAGTTGACGCTGTAGCAAGCTGTGATTGCACCACGGTATCCAGCCTGGGTAACAGAGTGGATTGCACCGCTGCATTCCATCTCAAAAAAAAAAAAATTTAATGCTAATGTCAAGGATGAAAAAAGATTATGGAATGCTTTCAGATTAAAGACACATGAAAATAAAATGGAATGTGTCACCCTGGGTTGGAGCTCGGATTTAGGTGACAAACAAAAAACAGTCATAAAGAGACATTATTAGAACAACAAGGAAAATATTTAAAGTGAATGGTACATATTAGATTATAGATGTGGTATCAAAGCTCTGTTTTCAAGTGTCTTAATGGCACTAGGATATTGGACCAGAATGCTTTTGTTCTAGGAGGCCCTTAGGCTAAAGTATTCGGAGGCATATGTTACAAAGGTTCATTCAAACCATTGCTCAAAAGATTCAGCCCATGGCCGGCCATGGTGGCTCATGCCTGTAATCCCAGCACTTTGGGAGACTGAGGTGGGCGGATCAGTTGAGGTCAGGAGGTCAAGACCGGCCTGGCCAACATGATGAAACCCTGTCTCTACTAAAAATACAAAAATTAGCTTGGCATGGTGGTGTGCACCTATAATCCCAGCTACTCGGGAGGCTGAGGCAGGAGAATCGCTTGCACCCTGGAGGCGGAGGTTGCAGTGAGCTGAGATCATGGCACTGCACTCCAGCCTGGGTGACAGAGTGAGAGACTCTGTCTCAAAAAAAAATTGAGTACCCCAAAATTAGACAGACAGAGGAGAGACAAAGCAAATGTGGCAACTGATAGACCTACATGCAGGGCGTATGGGTGTCAACTGTATCATTCTTGCAACTTTTTTGAAATCTTTCAAACTCAAAAAATAGAGAAAAATTTTTTTAATTCTGCTGAAGGAAGAAAGAGGAAGGGAGGGATGGAGAGAAGAAAGAAGGAAGGATGGACGAAAACAATAAAAAATTTAGAGAAGAAATAAAGGGCATCCAAATTGGAAAGAAAGAAGTCCAATTATCCTTGTTTGCAGATGATATGATCTTATAATTGGAAAAACCTAAAGAATCCACCAAAAAAACTATTCAAACTGATAAACAAATTCAGTAAATTTGCAGGATGCAAAATCAACATATGAAAATCAGTAGCGTTTCTATATGCCAAGAGCAAATTATCTGGAAAAATAAATCAAGAAAGTAATTCTATTTACAATAGCTACAAATAAAATTAAATCTCTGGAATAAACTTAACCAAATAAGTGAAAGGTCTCTATAACAAAAAGTATAAAACACTGATGTAAGAAATTGAAGAGGACTCAAAAAAGTGGAAACATATTTCATGTTCATGGTTTGGAAGAATCAGTATTGTTAAAATGGCCATATTACCCAAAGCAATTTATAGATTCAGTGCAATCCCTATCAAAATACCAATGACATTCTTCACATAAATAGAAAAAGTAATCCTAAAATTTATATGGAAACACAAAAGACCCAGAATAGCCAATACCATCCTGAATAAAAAGAACAAACACTGGAGGAATCAAATTACCTGACTATGAGTTATACTGCAGAGCTACAGTAACCAAAACAGTATGGTACTGACATAAAAACAAACACATAGACCAATGGGACAGAATGGAGAAACCAGAAACAAATCCATACATCTACAGTGAACTCATTTTTGACAAACTTGCAAAGAATATGCAGTGGGGAAAAAAATCTCTTCAATACAATAAATGGTGCTAGGAAAACTGGATATCCATATGCAGAATCATCAATGAAGAACCATAAATTCTTCAAATCTAAATGGATTAAAGGCTTAAATTTAAGACCTGAAATTATGAAACTTCTAAAAGAAAACATTGGGGGACCTCTCGGGAACACTGGTCTGGGCAAATATTTATTGAGTAATACATCAAAGGCAGAGACAGCTAAAGCAAAAAAAAAGGACAAATGGGATCACATCAAGTTAAGAAACTTCTGCACAGCAAAGGAAACAATCAACAAAGGGAAGAGACAAGTCATAGCCTGGAGGAGACATTTGCAACTATCCATCTGACAAGGGATTAAGAACCGGAATACATAAGAAGCTCAAGGATGAGCATGGTGACTGAGGCCTGTAACCTCAGCACTTCGGAAAGCTGAGGTGGAGGATTGCTTGAGCCCAAGAGTCTGAGACCAGCCTTGACAACAAAGCAAGCCCTTATCTCTACACAAAATTTTTAAAAGTCAGTTAGGCATGGTGGTGCACACCTGCAGCCCCAGCTACTCAGGAGGCTGATGTGGAAGAATCACTTGAGCCCAGGAGGTCAAGATTGCAGTGAGGCATGACGGCGCCACTGTACTCCTGCCTGGGCAACAGGGCAAGGTCCTGTCTCAACAACAAAAGAGAAGCTAAAACAACTCAGTAGAAAGAAAGTCTAACTAATCCAATTAAAACTAGACAAAAGATCTGAATAGACATTTCCCAAAAGAAGACATCTGAATGGCAAACAGGTATAGGAAAGGCACTCAACACCACTGATCATCAGAGAAATGCAAATCAAAACTACAATGAGGCATCGTCTCACTCCAGTTAAAATGGCTTTTCTCCAAAAGACAGGCAATAAGAAATGCTAGTGAGGATGTGGAGAAAAGGGAGCCCTCAGACACTGCTGGTGGGACTGAAAATTAGTACAACCACTATGGAGGACAACGTAGAACTACCATAGAATCCAGCAATCCTACTGCGAAGTATATATTCCAAAGGAAGGAAATCAGTATATGGAAGAGACAGCGGTACTCTCATGTTTATTGTGTCACTATTCACAATAGCCAAGATTTGGAATCAACCTAAATGTCCATCAACAGATGATTCGATAAAGAAAATGTGGTACAGGCTAGGTGCAGTGGCTCACGCCTGTAATCCCAACGCTTTGGGAGGCTGAGGTGGGTGGATCATCTGAGGTCAGGAGTTTGAGACTGACCTGGCCGATACGGTGAAACCCCATCTCCCAACTACTCGGGAGGTTGAAGCAGGATAATTGCCTGAACCTGGGAGGTGGAGTTTGCAATGACCCAAAGTCATACCACTGCACTCCAGCCTGGGCGACAGAGCAAGACTCAATCTCAAAAAAAAAAAAAAAAAAAAAAAGAAAAGAAAGAAAAGGTGGTACGTACGTACACACAATGGTGTACTATTCAGCCATAAAAGAGTGCGACCATCATTTGCAACAACATGGATGGAACTGGAGAACATTATGTCAATTGAAATGAGCCAGGCACAGAAAAACAAACTTTGCATGTTCTCACTTATCTGTGGGAGCTAAAAATTAAAGCAATGGAACTCACAGAAACAGAGAATAAAACGATATTTACCAGAGGCTGGAAAGGAAGAGGTAGGAGCATGGAAAGAAAGGATGGTGAATGGGAGCAAAACTGGAGCGATTAATAGAATGAATATGGCTTTGTATTTGATATAGTACAACAGGGCGACCACAGTCAACAATAATTTATTGTACATTTTAAAATTAACTAAAAGAGTATAATTGGAATGTTCATAACACCGTAACACAAAGAAAGGATCAATGCTGGAGGGGATGGATACCCATTTACCCTGACGTGATTATTACACATTGCATGCCTGTAACAAAATCTCCCTTGTACCCTATAAATATATACACTTACTATATAGCCATAAAAATTAAAAATAAAAAGAAATTTAGCATTCCCTTTAATCCAAAAGTTTATAACTCTGGGTCACATATTCTTAACAGGGGTGATACTGCCTCTGAAGAGACAAATATTTGTCCTTGGGAATGACACAAATCTCACTCTTTTTATGAATAAAGCACAGCTATATCTACAATATCCAAACAGATATGTGGTATATCTGTGATATTAAAGTTTCACAAGACAGGGATGAGGATATAAACGTGTTCAAAAGCTCCTGGCGGGAAGCGGTAATGATAAAAAGGTTAAGACACATTTCTCTGGGTCTATGAATAGGTATCAGAGGTCCATGAATGCCATGAAATTGTATAAAAGATATTTTTGCCCGGCATGGTGGCTCAAGCCTATAATTCCATCATTTTGGGAGGCTGAGGCAGGCAGATCACCTGAGGTTGGGAGTTCGAGACCAGCCTGACCAACATGGAGAAACCCTGTCTCTACAGAAAAATACAAAATTAGCTGGGCGTGATGGTGCATGCCTGTAATCCCAGCCACTCGGGAGGCTGAGGCAGGAGAATCGCTTGAACCCTGGAGGCAGAGGTTGCGGTGAGCCAAGATCGTCTCATTGCACTCCAGCCTGGGCAACAAGAGCAAAACTCCATCTCAAAAAAATAAAAAAAAGTATTTCCCCAAGGAGAACTGTAGCTTTTACAGGTTTCTCAAAGTGCTCTTTGGCCAGTCAGTCCCCTGGGACAACCAGCCAAGAGATGGGCAGGATGGACTAATGGGAGCAGGACATGCCCCCGCAACCTAGGGCAGAGAAGTCCCAGGGCCCCGAGCCAGTTTTCTCACCTGTAGCTGGGCGGCCGGCAGATTGACGTCAGCGATCATTTCTGTGCAGGGATGTTCCACCTGCAGGCGAGGATTCAGCTCCAAGAAGTGGAAGCTGCCGTCCTGGCTGTAGAGGTATTCCACTGTCCCTGCACTAACGTAGCCCACGGTCTTGGCCAGGCGGACAGCACACTGTGAAGAAACAGAAAGAGGCCAAGTGGGTTCCAGAGGTCTCCTCGGGGAACTGGAAATGATGACTATCAGTTCCTTCACCAAATGCAGACTGAACACCTGCTACGTGTAAAATATTTTAGGACTGGCCAGGCGTGGTGGCTCATGCCTGTCACCCTAGTGCTTAAGAAGGCCAAGGCGGGATGATCACTTGAGGCCAGGAGTTCGAGACCAGCTGGGGCAACATAGCAAGATTCTGTCTCTACAAAAAAAATTTTTTTTTGATTATCGGGACATGGTGACATGTGTCTGTAGTCCCAGCTACTCAGGAGGCTGAGGTGGGAGGATCACTTAAGCCCAGGAGTTAGAGGCAGCGGTAAACTCTGATTGCACCACTGCACTCCAGCCTAGGCAACACAGTGAGACGCTCTAAAAAATGAAAGAAGAAAAGAGATGGGGAAGGGAGGGCAAAGGAGGGATAGGGAGGGGAGGGGGGAGGGGAAGGGAGAGAAAATAAATAGTTGGGGACTTCACAGATGTGCTAATCCAATAGACCTATGTGATGCTGAAATCACCTCTAGAATGGGCCCTCCTCCCTTTTGTTGGGCATCCATGCCACCATCCAGCCACACTGACGGTAGAAAGCTCTTTCTGACGTTAGAGACAGAAAGTTCTTCCTGACTCTGAGCTGAGAAGACTCCCTCTGAAGCTGCCCCCTGGGCTCTGAGAAACGTACCTGCTCCATGAACTCGAACACGGCCAGCGGGGCGATGGTGGCCGGTGCCTCCTCAATGATCTTCTGATGCCGCCGCTGGATGGAGCAGTCTCGACCAAACAGAGACACAGCGTTCCCATACTGGTCAGCGAGGATCTGAACTTCCAGGTGACGGGCGTGCTGGGCCAGCTTCATGAGAAAGATGGGCGAGCCTGGGATCTCACTCTGTACCTGTCGGGCAAGCAGAGAAGCCTGATCTTCATGGGGAAACCAGCTCTGGAAGCTTCTGGAAGTTCTCAGGAGAGGACATGAAACAAAAGCAGTGATGTGGTTAGCGTACCCATCCAGGACTCTGCCGATCTCTTTCATTGTCTTAAAGACATAATATTCTGTGGAGTCCTGATAAGTAAGTAACAAGGGAGGGGGAGGGCCCCAGGTGGGGAAGACCAATGAACACCTGCGCTGAGAGATGGCTAATCACAACCCCAGGACATAACGACCTTATAGCCCCTCGTCCAGCACCACCCTAAAAAACCTCCCACTGGCCTTTGTCTCTTTGCAGACAGCCCCTTCTCTGCTGTGCTGCCCGTTGCAATCTTGCAACAGATTTTCATACTTCCTCCAATAAATCTGCCTTTCTTTACCTACCAACTGTGTTGGTAAATTCCTTTACCATCTGCCCTACCAGCCCCAGATAGTCACTGCCTGCTACATATTCTCTTTTTTAAGTTGGACTTTGTGAAAATGGTAAAATTTCCCCATGATCACATCCCCTAAAGAAAATACATTGTTAAGGGTTTGACATCCAAACTGGCTTTCTTCCATGCCTATAGCAACACATACAGAGAAAGTTTCTTTTAATGAAAATGGGACCAAAACACGCTAATCTGCAGTTGTCTTTTTCTTCTACTTACTGCGCTTTCTCAGCTAGCTCTCCTGGGTGGAATCTAAGGACAAACTTACTTCATCCTGTTAAGAGCTGTAAGGCATTGTTTTATAGGCATATCTTCTAGAGATTCTTAAAGACAGTGCGAGAGGAAGTATACAAGCACAATGATTTCTAAGACAATTTAAGTTTAAAAAAACAATTTGCAATAATGCATGGGACGAACTCACTTATGAAAACAGTAATAAAGCAACTGTATGAATGTCTATAAAAAGTATAGACAGTGGCAGTGCTGAAAAGAGACCCCCTGCCAGCTGCTAACAGTGGTCACATCTGAGAAAGGAGAGCTGGAAGGTGATGGGGAAAAGGGTTTTTCCTTTTTTATTCTTTTTTTTTTTTCAGATGGAGTCTCGCTCCTGTCGCCCATGTTGGAGTGCGGTGGCGCCATCTCTGCTCACTGCAACCTCCACCTCCCGGGTTCAAGCGATTATCCTTCCTCAGCCTCCCGAGTAGCTGGAACTACAGGCGTGTGCCCCCATGCCTGGCTAATTTTTGTATTTTTAGTAGAGATGTGGTTTCATCATATTGGCCAGAATGGTCTCAAACTCCTGACCTCAGGTAATCTACCCGCCTTGGCCTCCCAAAGTGCTGGGATTACAGGTGTGAGCCACTGCACCTGGCCCCTTTTTTATTTTTAACACATCACTGACTTGATTGACTTTTTACATTAAGAACATATTCATAGTGCACTCATGTAAGTACAATAGAAAAGCTTGGGGGTCTGCGTGCACATGGGGGCCCGGCGTATGTGAGAACTCTCTATTCTTTCTGCTCCATTTTGCCGTGACCCTAAAACTACTCTAATAAATAAAGTCTATTTTTTCAAAAGCAAAAAAGCTTTACAATCTGTATTACCCCCTAATCCAATATGGAAACCAGGACTGAATCCCGCAACAGGAAAGGGACATTAGTGCGAAAACTGATGAAATTCAATCTAGTCTGGAGTCTACTGAACAGAAAAGTGCCCATGTTAATCTCTTAGTCGCAAAGTGACATGAAGAATGTTAACGAGTGAAACTGGGTGAAGGGTAGATGTGAACTTTCTGTACTGCTGCTGCGACTTCCCTTTTAATATCAATTCCCTCTCCCACCGAAATGAAAAACACCTGCACACCCCAACGGAGATACCATGGTAGTGAAACTGCTGCTTTACATAACACTCACATATTGCCAAGACTGCTATAATTAGTAAAATTCTAGAAAGCAACATACTGATCGATACGTGTTTGAAAGTGCATGTACCAAGTTTTTCTCCCCAAATCTTTATTCAAGAAAATAATTCAGAAGAAAAAAAAGAGCTAAGTGTTAGAGCACTGAATATCATATTATACTATAGTATTATTGCATAATTATTCATAATAACAAAATGGAAATAAACTAAACAGTTAACAAAAAAGGCAAGGTTTCATAAATAAAGCTATAGCAACATATAAAATACTGGTAATCATCAAAATAGTTGCCAGGGCTGGAATAACAAAATAACAATATTCATGATCTACAATTTGGAATATTAAAATGCAGAACAAAATTTTGTGTAGACTGAATACAACTTTTTAAAATATATACATGAAGGTCTAGAAGAAAATCTAGAAATATTCAAGTTGTTTTAAGAATGGGAAGATTGTCAGTATAAATGTTTTCTGAACATTGCTAATAACAGACATAAGGTTTTAAAAGAGGAAAACTAGCTACCAGTAGTAAATACGCAATTCATTCCTACAGTTAAAATCGATCAGGCAGGGTGCAGTGGCTCACGCCTGTAATCCCAGCACTTTGGGAGGCCAAGGCGGGCGGATTACTCAAGGCCAGGAGTTTGAGACCAGCCTGGCCTATGTGGTGAAACCCTGTCTCTACTAAAAAGACAAAAAATGAGCTGGGCAGGGTGGCACACACCTGTAATCCCAGCTACTCGCGAGGCTGAGGCACTAGAATCGCTTGAACCTGGGAGGCAGAGGTTGCAGTGAGCTGAGATCACGTCACTGCACTCCAGCCTGAGTGAGAGTAAGACTGTCTCAAAAATAAAATAAAATAGATCATCTAGAAACATTAGAAATACCGAGAGTACTAAAATTTATAAAAACATATAATTCGTCCACAGGCCAACATAGTCACAAACAGCTATTTAGATCCTGTATCTCTGAAATCATTTCTAGATGCACCAATTTATAGACTTGAACCTAAAAGATGCTGTAAAGATCAACACAAAACCGTGGGCTTTTCTGAGTAAAAATGTAGACATTTGTTGCAAAATACAACAATACATCCAGCTCCTACAAAAGTCTTCTTGACTGCCACAGGATAATGCTAAGACAAATAACCTGGCAGCCCACAAACAATTCCCAAAGACAGATGGGAAAAGACACAGCAATAACTGCTCACTTGTCTGAAAAGGATCGGGAAGTCCTCCACACTCTCAGCCTTCCGGATTCCCTTCCCTCCGCCACCTTCAGAAGCTTTGATCATCAATGGAAAACCAATTTTTTCTGCTGCCTGGGTGCAAAGGACAAACAGACCTCTTTAGAGGTTAGGCAGTTGCCAACTGCTACCAGGACAAAGAGGGGGTTCAGCTCTGGCCCCTCGGCCCCCGCAGGCTCTGCATTTACCTCCAAGCCCTCGTCTACATCTTTCACGCAACCCTGGTCGTAAACGTCTTCTGGTACACTGATTCTTTCCCGCTGCTGCAGATCATCTTCTGTCCACTCCACTGTCAGGCCTGGAGAGTCACAAACAAAGCTGATTCCTCCCAAATCCGGGAGAAACACACACAACCCAGAAACCACAGGGCCTCTCCCTGCCGACGTAGTGCTACACCTGGGCTTCTGGACCAGCGGAATGCAAACACATCCCTTCAGTTTCTCACAATGGCTTTTTATTTCAAGAACTAACCCAACCTTGAGTAAGAAATCGAGCTTTAGAAACTAACTGCTGGGAGTGGTGGCTCATGCCTGTAATCCTAGCGCTTTGGGAGGATAAGGTGGGGGATCGCTTGAGCCCAGGAGTTTAAGACCGTCCTGGGCAACATAGTGAGACCTTGTCGCTATAAAAAAAAAAATTATAATTAGCCAGGCATGGTGGCATGAGCCTGTAGTCCCAGCTACTCAGGAGGCTGATGCTGGAGGATCACTTGAGCCCAGGAGGTCAAGACTGCAGTGAGCCATGATCGTGCCACGACAGTCTAGCCTGGGTGGCAGATTGAGACTCTGTCTCAAAAAACAAAATAACAAAAAAAGGAAAGAAACTCAGGCTGAGTCTACCAACAACAACCATATTAATCTAACCCCCCCCAAAAAAAATCCCAATTCTACCTTATGGAGTCATTTATATGTGAATAATTATTTTCCAAAACCATGCAAAGATTTAACAAATGAAATAAATTTTCCATCCCAAATTTAAAATTCAACCTGTAGGAGAAAAAAATCAAATTTAATAGAAACTTCTGAGACTCTCCTATTTATTTTTTAATTTGTCCTAGAAATTCCATGGTTAGGAATTTATCCTAAGAAAATTATTAAAATGCACACATAAATTTAGCTGTAAGATTATCAAAGCTCCATTCCTTTGAATATTTTTTTAAATTAGAAAAAATAAATTGGAAACCACCTGAATTGTTTAACTATGAGGACTGTTGAGTAAATTATGACACATCCATAAGATATAATCCTATGCAGGCATCTTAAATGGTATAAAGCGTATTTTTTACATAGAAAGATATTCATTAGTGGAAAAAAAAGTCACAAACTGAGAAATATAAGATGGGTTGTGGTTTCCTTTTAAAGATGGGTCTCGCCACCCAGGCTGGAGTACAGCGGCACCATCACAGTTCACTGTAACCTCGACCTCCGAGGTTCAAGCGATCCTCCCACCTCAGCCTCCTGGGTAGCTGAGACTACAGGCATGCACCACCATAACCAGTTAATTTTTTTTTTTTTTTTTTT